CATATTGGAATAGGGTGGGCCCTAATATAACTGGTGTCCTTATAAAAAGAGCACACAAACGCAGAGGAAAAATGGCCATTTGAAGATGGAGATAGATTGGAGTGATACTGCCAACCAAGCAATGCCTGGGCCAACTAAAAGCTGGGAGAGACAAGGAAGGATCTTCCCTCAGAGATCTAAGAGAATATGGCCCAGTCAACAACTTGAACCCTCCAGAACTGTGAGACAATAAATTTCTGTTGTTTCAAGTTTCTAGGGCTGTGTACCAAGGTACCTAGAAAATGAATAGAAGGGTCTACAGTTGCCATCTGAATACACACAACAGAATTCTATTTTCCTTCTGTATGAAAAAAATGCTAAGTGATTGACCTTAATACTTAGCTACATTGATCTAATGTGACAAGAGGCACTGCTGGGGCCATCAAGCGAGACACCACAAAATCAAATGTCTGCTGAAACCAGGCAGGGCACATAAAGGAGTGAAGGGTTAGGTGTGACACCTGGGAGTGGCAAGGACTGGGCCAAACTGGACAGCACAGCCCAGTCTGAAGGCAGAGGCTCCTTAGGTTGAACTGAGTGCTACTTCATGGAGGAATTCAGACCCAGCGTTAGATCTGATTTTCACGAGAAGACAGAAGGCTGGATTTCATGCAAAATCTCCCAAGTTTTAAAAGTAAGAAACGACAAATTATTGTGTGGGACAATCAAATTATGGCTATAGTTTTTTTATGGCCCATGAGCAGCAGTGGAAGGGGAATGGAATCTGATCTGGTTTGCATATTGAAATTAGAAGAGCTAGACATACATGCTTGAGATTAAATAATAAAAAAAACTTCAAGGAAAATCTTACATGGTGATTTAAAAAAAAAAAAGAACTAAATATTTGATATAATGCTAGCAGTCTACCAAAATTTCTTGGTCATCAGAACCAACTATGTATTAACATCTAGATATTCCTATAGCAATCTGGAGCTTTAGACCCAATTTTTGTAATCCTTTTCCTAGTAGCTCTACACATCTTCAATTTTTTGATAACAAAATAGAAGTACAAAGCAGCCAAATGACTTGTCCAAGGGTTTACATCTAGTCAGTGGTAGAGCAAAAGAAAAAAGGGAGGCTTCTGAATGTCAGCTTATAGTTCTCGCATTGCATGGCTGCCCAGGTAAACTATTTGACAGATGCTTGCTATATCTTTGGTCTTACTTATTATAAGAGACAAGATTTTTAATGTTTTGATAACCTGGTATGGCACTGTAACATAATGCACTGGACTGCAAGGTCAGTTTGAAACACAAGGTCTGCAGTGCATTCCCACCAGCTAGTCCTTGGAAACCCTAGACAGGGTCGCTATGAGTCGGAACTGACTTGATAGTACTTAACTACAACAACAACAACAACAACAACAACAATAAATATCACAATGGCTGATCTGCAGCCCATCACTGGGATGTGAAGGTCTGCAACGAGACCCGGGGCAGCCACAAGGCTGGGCAGTCAGAGATGACTCAACACACCATAGTACATTAGAGTGGGAGGGTCAGTATAGACAATTGGATCCAGTAGTTCTGAACTGTATGAAATAGTTCCAAGACAGACATTTCCTAAATGCAGTCATTTAGAACCTGAGATGTCGAGAGAGGCAAAGAACTGTGGAGGGTGGAAGGGAGTGTGTGTGTAAAGAGAACGGTATCCTTGCAGATACTGTCTTCCATTAAGCCCTCACCCAGCCTGCTCCCACCCTCACCCCTTGGTGGGACACAGTCTACCCCTCTTCTCACTTGACAGGTTAGAAAACTGAGGACAAGTTAAAATGACAGACTGGTGCAAGTTTATAGAGCAAAACCAAGAAAAGGGACTAGTTTCAAGACATGAAAACGTTTGTGGTTTTGGTGTTGTTTAATGACCTTGCTGGGCCACCAGACGCAGTTTCTCTTACCTCCCATCCTTCCATTTCCAGTCCTCTCTTTCCATATATATCATAGATGGCCCTGGTTTGGGGGTCACTAAGCACTGCAAATTAAAAATCAAACATGTTTACAAAGTACAAAGTTCATCTTCCAGCCCTATCTAAGCGCTCTGACACCAATGTTATTAGGTTAGTCCGTGTTTTGCTGTTCTTTCTGTTACATCTCCCTAGAGACCTTCTTTTATTTCTGTTTTATTTCTTTCCTTCTGTTTTCTGATCCAACCAAGGACAGACCTAAAGGATGGCTACAAATAAGGTAAATTGCATTTTCCCAGCATCCAACCTACTTTTCATTGTAAGGCACCCTTTTTGGGAACCTACAGCACTGACTCTTTTTTAAAATAAATCCTTTAAAAAGACTTTTGTAAGTTTCTCTCACAGTATTTCATGTTGAAAGACTGAATTCCAGTTTCTAAAGCTTAATGTAAACCAGCAACAGGTTCTTACAATGGGAAAATCTGCTATATTATTATCTTATTTATAATTTTTTATTATTTACTAACTCCTCAAAATATCTGCAGTCCTGGATGGTGCACATGGTTAAGCGCTTGACAGCCAGCTGGAAGGTTGGCAGTTTGAATCTACCTGGAGGTTCCTTGGATTACAGGCCTGCCAATCTGCTTCTGAAAGGTCACAGCTTTGCAAACTCTGTAGCAATTCCATTCTGCACACATGGATCTCCAGGAGTTAGTATCAAGTATAACTGACAACAAGAAAGTCGACATTTTCTCTTTGCACTTCTCTTCTTTACTTTACAAATCATTTTAACTATAAGGCACAAAGCACTTGTCACCACGGTGTTGGCTGCCTTGCCTAAAGCACATCAGAAAAAGGTTTCTCAATAAGGGCAAGAACCATTCAAAGGGCATTCAAAACAGGTTTAAATGTTAGTGAGGCTCACAGTCCTGATCTCCCTCCCCTACTCTGCCAATTTCCGTTCAAGACCTTTGCATCTGTCCCCCTCCCCGCCCCAGAGACTTCCCATATATTTTTAGGCCTAATTAAAAAGCGATGTAAATGATTCTTTCCATATTCAAATCTAATGGGGAAGAAAGAAATGCTGACGCTGGAAAACATGGAAGCCAAACTTCTTCAGTTAATCTCTAGGATTTAATAAGGAATTATTTATTCACTGTTTCACTCTAGTCTCCCTTTAGACTTGACACTGGGGGCAGGTTTGCTGCTGCAGCATTTTCACAATTACTAGTTGGGTTTTTCTGTTAACTCTTCCTCAACTCTCCAAAATGACACCGATGTGCTGTGTGGATAATTTAGACAGGAGCAAAATTCATTCAGCTATTCAGACAACAGGATGTGATCAAGATCACCATGCAAACGGATGTTCCCTTGAACAGAGTTAAGTTAGGTAATGGCGATGTTATACTTACCAAATGCATTTTCTGAATTTCTAATTAAGGGGCAAACAACCAAATGGCTTGGGAATGAATAACTTATTTGGTACATGCTCTAAGTTCTAAGTGTGACTTTAATATTATAATTAAAAAAAAAGAAACCCACACAAAATTCTTTCTGGCATATATAAGATGGAAATTTAGAAATCTTAATTGCTTAATTCTAGTGTTTTTTTTTTTAACATCATCATGTTCTTTCTTTTGTTAGAACCTTTACTGAATGCTGCATAACCAATAAAATCACATTCTGTTGAAAAAATGTTCTTGCATCCTCTCCCATACACAATAAAAGCATTCTCATAATAATCAGCCTTATACTTCTAGGGTCCCTTTCAGAAGAAAACTACTGAATGATTTAGAACTTGAGTGTTCCCCTGCAATTCACAACGTGGTCTCTCACTTCACCTGTTTCTTTCATTTGCTATTTACTGGACACAGGTTGATTTCAAAAGCAAAATACTACTCTTTCAAAGGAAAACATACGACACCAACGACCTCTTTTATACACTTCTGAAGATTCTCTTTCTCTATATAAGCAGTGCCCGGGTTATGAACGTCCAATTTAAGTACCACCTGTTCTTACAAACCAACCCTCTTAAAGCCTATTATTTAAAAATTTGAGGACTACATGATGGAGTCCTGGGGTGGCGCTGCAGGATAAGCACGGGACTTCAAGGTTGGTTTGAATCACAAGGTTGGTGGTTCAAACTCACCAGCCACTCCTTGGAAATCCTACACAGTCACTATGAATGAGAACCAACTCAATGGCACTCAACAACAACAATCATGGTTTGTAACAACAAACAGGTGCTACTTTGTAACCCACAGTAAAACATTATTACTACTATTAAATTATTATGTCAAAGATGTTTGGCTTTAGTGTATCTGGAAGTGCTCCTTCAATGTTTTTTTATGAGTAGAAAGACTCACAACGTATGTTGTTGTTGTTATTGTCGTTGAGTTGGTTCCGACCCATAGCAACCCTGTATAGTGTTTCCGAGGAGTGGTTGGTGAATTTGAACAACCAACCTTGTGGTTCAAACCGACTTTGCAGTCTGGCGCATTAACCCACAGCGCTACACCAGAACTCCTACACAATATATACTATATGCTAATTAAGGAGTCCCAGGAGTCCTGGTATGGCGCTGTGGGTTAATGCTCCAGACAGCAAAGCTGGTTTGAACCACAAGGTTGTTGTTCAAACTCACCAGCCATTCCTCGGAAACCCTATACAGGGCCGCTATGAGTTGGAACCAACTTGACACACTTAACAACAACAGTAAGGAGTACTGTTGCGACACCATAGGATAAGCACTGGACTGCTAACCATAAGATTGATGGTTCAAAACCACCAGCTGTTCCTTAGAAACCCTATATAAAGTCACTATGCGTCGGAACCGACTTGACAGCTCACAACAACACACAACACTACAAACATTTAACTAATGTTAGATACCAACTGTACCTAATTGTTCTAACTTACATACAAATTCAATTTAAATACAGATTTAGGAATGAAATTCATTCACAATTCAGGGACTGCCTGTACTCTACAAATCAAGTCTCTAAAACCTTACTATCTGATACCAGGGTGTTTCCAGGCAGCCCAGCCCTCTACTGACCTTCATAAGCCTGGTGCACAAGGTTAAATAGTCGTTCTGCTTGTAACTTGAGCTCTGGGTCTCTGTGTTTGTCTGGATGGTACAGCATACACAGCCTCCGGTAGGCAGCTTTCAGCTCTTCACAAGAGGCCTACAGAAAGAAAAATTCCATTAGAGAACAATCAATGAGTCTTTAGCATTCCCATGACCAGAATCAGCCCTGAAATGGGGAACTGTCAGCCACATTACAGTATGTTTGTTCTTTAAATACAGGGTATAATGAAGTTATGCTTTATTACCTCAATAAGTCTTTGTTTTTCCACAGTTAATAAAGTGATCAATTATGTATATCAATAAAGACCGTGCTTTGATAGGAAATGCTGCTATAAGATGGGATGAAAGCTCAGGGCTCCATATTGTCTCACTGTGCTTGAAACTTAAACTAGAAACAACAGAGATAAACTTACTCTAGCTCACCAAAGTTATCTGAAGCAATCCATGCCAAGGTACTCACAACATAGCATTTGCTCAAAAAGGAAAATACAAGTCATTAGACAGAAATGTATTTATAACCAGATTTTGACAAAGAAAACTCAGAGACTATTAATTTCTAAATGCTAAAGACAAATAAAATCACAAAACCAGCATACACTCTAATTCAACCTCTAATTCTAAAAGGTAGCATGTTGTTGTTGTTAAGTGCCACTGAGTCAGTCAGTTCCGACTCACAGAGACCCTGTATGGGGTTTCTAAGGAGCAGCTGGTGAATTTGAACTGCAGACCTTGCAGTCCAAACTGACCCTGAGGTCGAGGGCTTATCCTATGGCACCACACCAGGACTACAAAAGGTAGAGTATAAGACAGGCAAGAATGCCATTCTAAGTACTTTCCCCAGCACACACACCTCTCCAATTCAGAGAAGTGGTCCATTTGAAGGGGACAAGGTGTAAGCACACTAGCAGGACGGCTGGCATGATGGGGGATGTGGGAAAATAGAAGGCAGTGTGGCAGTACAATGATCAAGCTTCCTGCTGCTCCTCTGTGGCACCAAAGAGTTCCCATAAACAGACTCCCTTAAAGGTCCATATTATTTCTAATTTTCCTATTCCCCTCAGAGGTCATTTTGGTTCACCAGAGGCAATGCTGAATTGGCAGCTCCTTCACGATGACTTGTCAGGTAAAAAGCATTTTTATTTTGGGAAGCAACACCACCATTCTGACAGCAGAAGCACATTTCTGGGTCACTGACAGCATGCTGGGGGGAGCTGGACAATGAATAAGGAACACTGAAGAAGAATAGACTCATTTGGATTATGGTGCTAACAAAGAATACTGAATATACCATAGATTTTCATGGAAGAACAAATCTATCGAAGAAGTACAGCCCGAATGCGCCTTAGAAGTGAGGATGGCGAGACTTAGTCTCACATGTTATAAGTAGAGACCAGTCCCTGGAAAAAGAAGTCATTGAAAGGACAGAGGCCCTCAATGAGACAGACACAGCGATTGTCTCAAACATAGCAACGATTATGAGGATGGTGTAGGACTAGGCAGGATTTTGTTCTGTCGTACACAGGGTAGCTAAGAGTTGGAACAGACTCAACAAGTTATTCTGGTGCTAGAAAAACTATGCATCAAAAGAGATGCGTAAGTTAGGAAGTCTGACAATTGATGTGCTAGAGGGAGGAATCCTGGGAGGGTGGGCCCAAATTCTCATTCTAGGTTCACTCAGGATGACCTCTTACCACCTGCCTGGACCAAGTTTCCTGTCTGAGGAGTGGATGGTTGGGAGGGGTGACCTCTGAAGAATCTTTTCCAGCCCTACCTTTGCTTGATTCTCTCATTCAGAAGAGAAACTGCTAGACCTTATCCCTTGCAGCTCCTTTAAGCCAGACTCGTGCCCTACACTGCTTGCTTGTTTAGACAGAGAGGCACATCTGCATGTCTTGTCGTGTTAAATCTGGAGCTCCTGGAAGGTTATTAATGACTTCACTGGAAAGGGGTCAAGGATTTTGTTGACTGAGCACCCTTGCTTCCAAGGGCTACTAGACAGACTTTGCCGAATCCTACTTCTACCTCTGTCCCCCATCTTCTCATGGTTTAGCCTTTGGGAATTATATTATCAAGCAAGACTTAGTTGACTGCATTCCTCCCTTTTTTCCATCTGGTAATCTGTGTGATTTTCTCACCAACCTTCGGTCTGAGAGGCTAAGAATGCAGGCTGTGGAGCTAAATGGTCTGGACCTGTCATTTAAAAGCCTTCCAGTAGACAGGTCTATAAGGTGAACAGGAAGATCAGGGAGATGCGTACTCCTTAAAACTGACCGCAGGAGATCCAAAGGGCAGCAGTTGCCAAGGGAGAAAGCTTAGAAGGCAGGAAGGGATAGGAAAGATGGATTAATGGAAATGGGAAGAATGCTATTACAATGTGGGGATTGCAATCACTGTCACATAACAAAGTGGCTATGGACTGTTGAGTGGAAAACAAATAGGCTCTGCAAACTTATACCCAAATCATAAAAAAAAAGAAAAAAAAAAAAACAGGGAAGAAAAGAAAAAGGCAAAAAACACAAACATGCAAAAGCTTTGTGATTTCAAGAAAGCTACTTTTCTGAGCTGTAGCCTCCACATCTGTAACAGGGGAAGATGACACCTGATAATCTCTCCAGGACCACATGAAAATGAAATAAGGCTGTGAATATAAAATGTTCCACAGAGTGTCTACTATCCAGAAAATGTCTAAATCATAGTTTATTTAAAGTCCTGGTCTAAAAAATGTAGCAAATAGAGCCTATGTCATAGGAATTAGGAGGATTAAATGACATAACTCAAGTGAAGTACTTAAAACAATGCCTTGCACACAGTAGTGTCAACAGGTCAAATTCACCAGCCGCTCTGTGGTATAAAGATGAGGCTTTCTGCTCTCAAAAAGATTTACAACGTTGGGAGCCCTGTATGGGTTGCTATGAGACAGAACTGACTCGACAACACACAACCACCAAAACCATGACATCATTAAAGAGCCCGGGAGCACAATGGTTAAGTGTGTGGCTGCCAACTGAAAGGTCACTGGTTCCAACTCACCAGCAGACCCAGAGAAGAAAGTCCTGGCGATCTGTTTCAGAAAAGATTACAGATAAAAGTAGAAACCCTAAGAGACAATTCTATACTGAATCACAACAGACGTAATGGCAAATAGCAATAATAAGGCTATCATAAAGAGCCCCTGGTGGTGCAATGGTTAGGAGCTTGGCTGCTGACTGAAAGGCTGCCTGTTTGAACCTTTCCAATGGCTCTGCGGAAGAAAGACCTGGAGATAGGCTCCCATAAGGATCATGACCTTTATAACAGCAAGGGCCAATTCTATATGTCACATGGGGTTGCTATGAGTAAAGATCACGTGTTGTTGTTGTTGTCGTCAGGTGCCATCGAGCCGGAACCGACTCATAATGACCCCATGCACAACAGAACGAAACAATGTCCGATCCTGGGCCAACCTCACTACCTCCGCCACACTTGATGCCATCAATGATGCCACCTGGCTGATCCATCTCGTTGGGGGTCTTCCTCTTTTTCTCTGACCCTCCACCTTACCCAGCATGACATCCTTCTCCAATGACTGTTCTCTCCAGACAATGTGTCCAAAGTATGAAAGATGAAGCCTAGCCATCTTGGCCTCCAAGGAGCACTCTGGTTGCACTTCTTCCAACACAGATCTGTTAGTTCTTTTGGCAGCCCATGGCACTTTCAATATTCTCCTCCAACACCATAATTCAAAAGCATCAATTCTTCTATGGTCTTCCTTATTTACTGTCCAGCTATCTCATGCATATGAGGTTATTGAAAATACCATGGCTTGGGTCAGGCGCATCTTTGTCCTCAAGCTGACATCTCTGCTCTTCAACACTTTAAAAAGGTCTTGTTCAACAGATTTGCCTAGTGCAATACATCATTTGATTTCTTGACTGCTGCTTCCGTGAGTGTTGAAAGTTGATCCAAGAATGAAGTTCTTGACAACTTCAATCTTTTCTCCATTGATAAGAATGTTGTTTATTGGTCCAGTGGTGAGGATTTTTGTTTTCTTTACATTGAAATGCAATCCATAATGAAGGCTGTGTGTTCTTTGATCAGTAAATATTTTAAGTCCTCTTCACGTTCAGCAAGCAAGATGGTATCATCTACATATTGCAGGTTGTTAATGAGTCTTCCTCCAATCCTGATGATACGTTTTTCTTCCTATAACCCACCTTCTCAGATTATTTGCTCAGCATACAGGTTGAATAAGTATGCAATACTTTCTTTTTTTCCTTCTGTTTATTCTGCTGTTGAAAATACACTCAACAGAACATACAACAACTCAATACTTTCTACCTGTACAGATAAGTGATAGTCATCACATTCTTCAAGTTGTGCAAGTATATTCTCACCTCCCCTTTTTTTGAACTGTTCCTCCTCCATGAACATAAACTCACTACTCCCCTAAGCTTCTTATGTAACTATACTGGACTGAGAACTTCAAACTCACTAGCTGCTCCTAGGAAATCCTATCTCCAATGGCCACTATGAGTCAGAACTGAATGATGACCCTAACAACAATGGTTTCTGCTGTTACTTTGATCCCATACAGAGATAGCTTAAAAGACTCTGGCACTTAAGGCAGATGCAGTACATTTCTTGCCACACTTACTGATGTGCCACCTGTGCCAAATCCTGTTGTTTTAATGAATAAATAATAATAACTGATGGGCAAATAAAATACATCTTCTCCAGTAGGTTTATTTATTTCACAAGGTAAAAGGGGCTAGTTCTTTCCTAAATAGCTATTATAAATTATTTTCTTTCTGAAAATTTTGTTTTTCTTAGTATTTGGCAAAAGTTCCATGTATGTGATAGATTAGACTGGCTCTAGGTTGGACTGCTATTTCCTGGTTATTAAAATGAAACTAGATGGCAAGTGAGTAGACTATCTAGTTCTACAAGGCCTTCTTAATCTTATTAATAAATGGCTTCATGTGCTATTGATTAAGTAATAGAAACTAGGAGTTTCATTTTTAATAAATATCACATTCAATGAAAGGTTAGATTGGGTCTTTCATCATAACAGAATAGTTAAGGTCATAGGTTCGATATTTCATAAATGATCACCTCTTT